TGTAGGAGTCAGGCCTCACCCCACGGGGCTTTGCAAGCAAGGGAAAGGGAGAGGGACGAATGAATGCCACCAGTCAAAAAAAAAAAGTTGACGTGACGAACTCTATTTGCCTGAAAATATCCCTGCTTGTTTTGCTTTCTGTCATGGGTGAGACTGCAAGTTTTCCACCAGCCCATCTTCCCTTCCCCTGGTCCAGCCTGCCTGGTTGGGAGCATTTAGAGGTGACTTTTATGGCTGGAAGCTCAGAGCAGGCATTTCAAAGTCAGAGCCCACCTCAGGGATACTCACAGCGACTTCAGCTGGGACTGCTGTTCATCAGTTAACCCGTGGGTGCGAAGATGGAGGTCAACTTACTGCTGTTAGAAAGCTAGATTTTATTCCACCTTCAACCCATGGGCTTCTTTTTGCACAGCCAGATTGGTGAGCCTAATGTTCAGAGGGGCAGCTGTGAGGAGCTGGATTAGCAAAACCAGCAAACTCTTCGTGCTTTGCTACGCTGGAGCGGGCCGATCTTCAAAGCCCAGCTCCGTGCCATCACCTCCGCCTGCCCGACTCGGTTACTGGGAAAGTTGAGCGCAGGGCAGTAGTGAGACCTTGGTGGGACACTTGCCCTGTCAGCTGCTTTACCAAGCGTTGTTAGTTGGGTTAGTAGGTTAGTAACCCTACAGGTTAGTAGGGAAGGGGGTTTAGATGTGTATTTTGGCAGCTTTGAGGCGCTCAGGGAGACCGTTTGCTCACGCTGTCAGCCATGGAAACTGTAAAATGATTAAAAAATTGAGTGATGAGTAAAAGGAGGGTCTTTACAATGAAATGCAGTGGTTTCCAGCATTGCAAACATGAGAGGCGTGGCTGTTACTGCAGAAAGATGAAGGAGGTTTTTTTTTGTTTCCTTCTTCCTCAGAGGTTTTTTCTTTAATAAGGAAACCGTTTAGAGCACAGGTGTTTGGTTTTACTTCCACGAACATTCTGGAATCAGTTGTCAAACCTCCCCAGACAACAGTTTGGGGGGTTCCACTCCAAACTTCCTTTCTTCTTCCTTTAGGGAGTGATTTGCTTTTTGCTGCTCACCCCGAACACGTATCACTGCAGAACATTTCAGGATTAGCTTCCTGCACGGGCGATCACAAGCCTGGCCAGGCCATGAGCAGCGTTCGTTGAACACCTTGTCCGGAGGCAGAGGAGGCAAAGGCACGTGCTGAAGGCATGCGGAGACAGTGGTGTGAAGAGTGGCCACGCAGAAAGTTCACGGGAAAGTCAGGAGCGGACCAGGAGCCCTGACATCCATTCCTCTAACTACTAGTTACAGCCCTCAGAAATACCCATGTTTACTATTTTAGCCATATAATTACAGGTAGTGAGTAATTCCATTAGGAAGGCTGTAAGGGGAGGTATCATCTCTAAACCTTAGGGTTCAAATTAGACACGTTCGTTCAGCCCCACTGAAGCCCACAGCTGTGCACGGTCTGATGCCGGGCAGAGAAAAGTAAAGTTCAGGTGAGCGATCTCAGCTGAGTTTCCCCTGGGAACTGGGAATCTTCCTGCTCATCCTGCAAACACCTCGGAGTAGGCTATCGGCTAACCCCGGCTGTGATTTGCATGTCACCCCTCCGCAATGACACCAGACACGAGAACCACTGCCTGTGTGACCACGGAGGTGTCTTTGCCCCCGGAGCGGAGCCGCGGCGGAGCGTAACTCCGCTGTGCCTCAGAGGTGTTTGCATTTTAGCGGTGGGTGGTTTCCCACATACTGTTTGTGAAGAGCGTTGGGCTCAGCGCTGCCTAAACGGGGAGCCCCGGCCAGCCTTCAAGAAATAAAGCAGCAAGGGAAAACACAGTCGCTCCACGTTTCCAAGCCTAGATATCCTCATTAAGCAAGGCAGAGATCCGAATTTCACCATAACCTGCGTTTCAGTAGGTGATTAAAAGTCCAGCTCTTTGATTCAGGTAATCAGAAAGGTGAAAGTTACCCAAAAAACATGGAAGGGGGAGCAGGATTTCAGAAACACACCTTATTTGGGGCCTTTTCCTGCTCTGCAGTTACGGTTTGGACACATCTGTTGTTTTCTCCAGCGAAATCCGCTGCTTTGATCGCTGCCAAAAACAGCAATCCCATTTGCAATGCATGATGCAACTGAGCAAAATCAAGGAGAACTTTTTACAAACTGGAGTCAGGGGCATCGGAGCGTTGCTTTAGGGCAGCGCAGTTTTCCCTGTACCAAAGGCAGTAGCTCCAACAAGGGTCTTATTTTAAAAATAATGTTTCAAACTGGATGCCAGTTTATCGTTGCAATGGGTCAGCTTGCCACAAAACGGCAATACCAAAGTGGCTCCTTAGGTCAAACAACCAAACCAGCCTCGCGGCAGCTATTTAACAGCTGGATTTTAAAAGTTTGTAATTCAGACAGTTTTTTGAGTTAAAAAGAAATAGATCATGCTGTATGTCATCAGCCGGGATACCGACCCAAGTGATGTTGTTCAGATTGAAATAAAAGCAAAAGTTGCTTTGCAAAAGGACAGGGTGAGGGCAAGAGGAAGGGATTTTGAAAACCCCCCCGGCTCCTTCCAGCCTCCCCACGTCCCTTCCAGCTCCAGCTGCCCACACATCCCATCAGCAGGCATTTCTTCTTGGGTGGTAGCAGCAGCTGGCAGGGTTTGGACATATTTGCCCCTGTTTGACATCCCCCACAAAGAGGTGCTTCGAGCAGGCGTTCCTCCCACACTGCCTTCGCTACAGGTCTGGATCCGGCCTGACAGCTTTCATCTCCTGCCCAGCTCAGCCCAGGCTGGCAGCTCTTCTGCACACAGAGCTCCTTCTGACTTTAGTGGACATCATCTGAGTGCAGCTGCAGGAGGATCAGGACCAAGACAGATCTCCAGTCAAGCGGGCAAGGCCTCAGGATTTTTGGATCCCATCTGGGTCCCAGATGGAAAAAAAAAAAATTCCTGCTGCAGCCTGGATAAAGCCCCAGTGAAGTTCCTCTTTCATTTGGAGGCAAGGGGCTCAAACCCCCCAAAGGAGAACTACATAGGTATTAATAGATATCTTCGATAGATATCTTTGCTTCTTGGATATTTACCCCCATCTCCTCTTCCTCCTCTCCCATGGGATATTTGTTGTAGCTGAATCACAGATTCAGTCCACGACCCAGAGGAGATCACAAACTCTTACTGGAGACTTTAAGCTACCACCACTCCAAAAAGCACCCTCAAGGCTGCTTGTGAGAGGAGGAAGAGAAGGGGGTTTCCAAGGATGACTGGAAGCAAAGTCAAGGAGCATCCCAAGCCTGTACCAAGCTGCAGGAGGAAAGACCTGTTGTGAAAGGGCATTTACAGGGTTGGGAGAAGGGTTGTGTAAAACAACCAGCATCCTTTTATGCTTTGTATAAGATCCCCAAGAGGAAGGAGATGAAACATTAGGATGGTAAGGGGGCACTCAATCAAAGGAGGGCTAACGATCTAAAACAGGGAAGTTAAAGCATATTAATTAAAGCATATTACACCCGTGGGCACTCTCATTTAGAAGTGAAGTCGTCTTAGTTCACTGTGGCTAAAACACCCTTCAAGAAAAATTTTAAATAGATCCGAGCGGGCAGCTAAGGGGATGCCTCCCTGCCGGCCCAGCGCTTTCCTGGCTGGAGCAGACCCCTGGGATGGTGGGGCTGCAGATCCAACCTGCTCACTCCTCGTGCTGTGGCATCACAGGAGGCAGAAAGGAGCAGGATTTTGACGCCCAGCTGGCAAATGCTACATGGCCCGTGAGCTCCCAGGCCTGCCATCTGCCCGGGGGCTGCCCAAAGGGTCTCTACCGGGTGGTTACACAGTGAGACCCCCCCAGGACAACTGTACCAACACAACTGGTGAGACTTTCCCCCAGCGAAAGCTGAACATCCAGGTCTATATGCTCGCTGGTGGTGCAGACTGGGCTGTGGTGGAGGTCCTGAGAGAGCGTAGGAACACGTTAGTCCTCTCCATCAGTCCTCAGCGAACTGACAGCTGGATTCGGGGACCCCCGACAGTCATCCCCCTCTCCGAGGAGCGTTGGCCTAACGATAAGGATCATTAGATCAGCAGCCTTGCTGTTTCTGAGTCATTCGGGCTTACTTCACTGCTGCCAGTGCCGGTGCGGGTGAAGGACCTGGAGAGGTTGTGAAAGGCTCGCACCTCCTGCGCAGCCAGGGCTGGGGTGGCCTGGAGGAGCTCCTTGTGCCGGGGGGGGGCATGCCCCAGCGGCCGGGGGCTGCAGCATCGCTCTCACAACGAGCTGCCTGACGTCCCCTGCCTCAGTTTCCCCTCTCTGCAGTACAACGGCCCCTTTACCCCAAATTGCTTAATTTGGGAGAAATCGAAAGCACTCCTGTTAGGCCCGTGGGAAAAAGGCGGGGAGGGTGCGCTGGGTGCCGGGCCCCCGCTGGGGTGGGAGGCCGCCCCCCCCCCAAATTGCAAC